TATAAAAACCTCTATTATAGACTTTCCATTATTTTTTTCCTTTTTTTAGAATAAACTGTCCTTCAAATAAACTTACAATATAAAATATTGATTTTACTAGATTTAATGCTACATCTTGTTTTTATTCCAGCATTTTTAAATACAGAATCATCTTAATAGTATTCTGCCGAAACGCTTGCTTAGCTAAATTTTTTAAATCCGCAATCAATTGCTTTACAGAATTCCAAGTCTAATTTTGTTAATAAATAAGTTTAGGTTTGCAAAAAACCTGGTTAAGCACACAACTTTATCAAGCTTTCAAAACTAATCTCTTTAAGAAACTGGTTTACTTTTCTTTTATGTGAAAGTTTTTTTAAAATAATACATCAACTAGAAAAGATTATTAGAAATCTGCTTAAAAAACACCAATCACATTTAAATGTAAATAATTTAATTTATTTATTAATAAAGATAGTAAAAAGGAAAAATAAATGGGAGTCTCAAATATATAGAACTGTTTTAAAATTTTCGAGTTTTCTTGCTCATTTTCATCTTTTTCTTTGCGTCGATTTTATGTGTTTCTTCTTGCCGTACAAGTTTTTCTACAATACTATTTCCAGATTCTGTTCCTCGAGGTTCTGTAAAAAGTTGTGTATCACTGCTCTTGTTTCTGGTATTTCCTTTGTCTTCATTTTCACCATTTCTCTTTTTAGAGTGGTTTTTTGACTTGTTGATGCCCTGTTTAAGTCTACCATCGTTATTTGATTGAGGTGTATTGGTTTCAGTAGTTGCAAAAGTACCTGGTTTCAAACTAACAATAGTATTAGTATTTGATTTCTGATTTTTCAATTTTTTAGTTTCTTTTGCAAGAGTGTCAATGTCATTAACCAATACTTCAGAATCTTTTATTTCATCATCTGAGGTTTCGTCATCTTCATCAAGTTCATTTGCAAGATTCGAAGCCAAGTTTTCCGGGTTAGAAATCAAAGAAACAGTGTTTTTCTCGTTCTGTTTTGGAAGAGTTTTATCAATAGCTTTCGTTTCCAAGCTGTTGAAGAAACCCACTATCTTTTTAATAATCTTCATAAGCATTGCTAAAACAACGGAGCTTGTCAGACCAAGTTCTCCAACTATATCATCGACGGACTTGTGTTGCAACCCAATCGAAAGAAGAATACACTGTTGCACTCCGCTTAGCCCCACGCTTTCATGGAAATCGGCAAATGAAAAGTAGTTTTTCGCAATTTTGGGTATTAAATCAAGTATTACGTGGTAATCCAGTATGTTATTTGAGTAGGCTTCCAAGCGTTTGATATCCCAAGGAAGGAACTCAGCTTGCAACATATTAACATCAAATCTGACTTGATTGACCGACTCTGAAAAACTCTTGTTTGCGGCCTCTAATATCGCCAATCCAAGAACCCCAGGAAACTTGGAAAACTCAAAGCTGAAAAGAGTCAGCATTCTTCTGACAAAATCTACTGAAAACATCTTTAACCAGTCCTGATTAGAGATCGTGATATCCTCAGTATCCAAGGATGCATCCATATCCTTGTGGATAGGTAAGTCTTTAAGCATGACCACGGTGTGCTCTCCAGTAAGTTCACTGGGTGTTTGGCGTAAGTATACTGGTGTATATCTCGAGCGTTTCCAAAACTTGAAAAGACTAGGTGTCAGTCCGTAGCTTACCCCGAGCCAGTGTAGATTTGGTAATGGCTTTTCCGAAAGACGAAGGAAAAGTGGTGGTAGTGAAGACAAATCTCTGACTTTAATATTAGCATCTATACCTTCAAGGGCCTGAAGGTCGTCATCAGTCATTCGTTTTACACTGCTATTCTGTTTGTTCTGTGTGCTATTAGCTGCCGTCTCACTAACAGAAACTACTTTTCCTGCATAGTAGTCTTCTAGAAGCTCAAGAGCCTTTGAACCATATCCCATGCTTGTATAGTCTGGATGTGTAGCTATGCGTACAACGCGAGCGCCAGATAAAGAGCTAAAGTTTGCATCTTGGTATTGTTGAGAAATCAGCCAGGGGATCAAATCACCGCCGCTTCTTATTCCTCGTCCTAGAGATTTCATTAGAGATTCCTTGCTAATCTGACCTTCCAAACATACTTGGATTACACAAAGAGGTTCTGGGAGTGCAGTTCTTTGGCCGTTTGAGTCGACTGGAGCAAGTAGTACAAATAGTTCGTGGGCTGGGGCATCACTTAACAGCTGTAGATCGTTGGGAGAGTTTTTATAATGCGATGCTACATATAAAGAAACCATTTTTTGAAGGAAAGCCTCACTAACAGGATGGTAAGAGAACAAAGTGTCTCGGTTAACCCAAAACAGCTCGCATTTGTCTGGATGAGGACAGCCAGTAATACTGGTTGAAACAATGGATGCATCAAGACAAAGTAGAGAGTTAAGCCAGGCTTCGATACGGTCATCATTGGAATATCTAATTGGCTCATTTAAAGAAAGTTCATGAAGTTGGCGACCACCACCAGCCATCTTGTTATCAGATGAAGCATCAGAGTTTTTGTTTACAGAGGGAACTGACTGGTCTCTAAGCTTTTTAAGTAGTTTTAGAGAAAGAGAACGTCCAGTTCCTTCATACCCATTGATTGTAGAGGACATAAACACTAAATAAGGACCTAGTAGCTTGTTTACCAAAGGTAGGGGGATTGCAGCAGCTTCATCGATTACCAACAACTCAGCCTGCGAAAGCATGTGTGAGTCTTGAGGCATGATGTATTGAATCGTTTGTCTGTAGTGCTTAAATACGTTTACTCTTACAACACAGTTGGTTCCCAGGGAGTTGTTGTTGGACATTATAATATCATAATCAAGATGTTCTTCGTATCCTAAAGCGTCAAACCCTTTGAACAAAAACTCAAACAAGGTTTTCAAATTTGAGGGAGATGGCGAAGTGACAAAAATATTAGAAAAGCCATGAGCAATAGCGCAAGCTAGAGTGATACCCAAAGTGGCGGATTTTCCTCTACCTCTACCAGCGGTAAGAGATACAGTTGATCTCAAAGATTTGCTTCCAATAATGTCAGCTAGCTTCATGATATTTTTTGCTTGATCATAAGTTTTTGCAAGTTTAATTAAAGCCCCAATAGGCTCTACATCAGCAAGAGAAGTTTTCAGATCGTCTAGCTGTCTTTTAATTTGAGATTGTTCTCCCTAAAGTACAAACACAGAATTTGAAGGTTGTATTAAAAAACAACTTCTAAAATAAGACTATAAAAGCAGAACAATACCTTTTCAGCATCAGTTAATGGTTTTACGCTTTTGCCACGAGAAATAGTGAGTACATTGAGTTCATCATCAATGAACAAACAGTCTTTACAGTCAGCAAGAGAGAGAATGAAACGTTCGTTAAATCTACCTACCACATCGTTATGTGCTTCAGTTCTATATCTTGAGTGAACATCCTAAAAGCAAAATGGATTTTGTGTCGTACGTGAGTTATGGTTTGAAAATTGCAAAATAGAAATAAAAATAAAAGGTAAATAGTTACCATAGACATGGTGTACAACTGCTTAAGAGATTTCATTGATTTTAAAAGCAAGACAACAATACCACCTCCTTCAACGGTTTCTATAGTCCTTGCGAGAAGATTTGGAGTAAGTGCTTCAAAGTCCTAGAGTTATGATTTGATATATATGAACATTATTGTCAGTGTTTAAAAACAAGAAAAAAACAAGAAAAAGGCAAGAAACAAAACAAAAACAAAACAGCTAGAAAACTAGAAATACCTGAAGTATACACATCCCAAAAGTGTTTCCCAAAATATTTTCGGTTTCTTTATAATAAGTATAACGAATATCAGTCAAAGTAATAAACATTTCAAAGGGATCTTCTTTGTTTGGTTCACGAATGCCTCTTTTTATATCACGTTTGATCTTGGCTTCACGCTTTTTTCTATGACTAAAACAAAAAGAAAAAAAGACGAATAAAGAAAATTAATTATTTTAAAAACAAAAAAAAGTTAAATCAACAATAAAATTGATGGTAAATTGGAAACTTGAAATACTATTATTTCGAATAATATCAAAATTAGG